TTGGCAGTTTCTCCAATGTGTGTTGATGTGAGGTGGGTTTGTGGGTGGAGGGCTTAAAACAGGGTAAGAGTACAGACTCAAGGCAGGCAGATGGGGCTGGATGCCAGTTCTACTTCTCAGTAGCAAGAGGTTGGACCTCTAAGCCTCAGTGTTGCCCTTTTGAGAAATTGAATAGGGCTAAGAATAGTAACTATTTTATAGGGTTTTTGTGAAGATTAAATGATGGGCTGTACCTAAAAGCATTTAGCATCCTTATGGCAAAATTCTAAAAAGGGCTGAATAATGTTAGCTTTGATTATGAATAGCAGTGAGAGCTCTGCAGTAATTACTCTGTCCACTGCACAGGGGTGGGATGAGAGTGAATGTTGTTCTCCTCCCTTTATGGGTGAGGAAACCAGCTCATTGAGGTTAAGTCGCCTGCTGGTAAATGGCCTCATTAGGACTTGGGCGCAGATTTCCTCTAGCTTTCCCTCCACCACACAGGAGCCTGTAAGGGACGTGCAGTGACATTAATGCCACTTGGAAAATGCTGAGGGAAAGGTGAGAAATCTTACCTCTGCCCACCAGTAGGAATGAGAAAATAAAATCCCAAGCTCCTCTTTGTCTCCTTTCTCCTAGAAACTGAGCTGCTGCCTTTAAAAATTGTGGCTGTTAATGCTTTGGGGGTCACACCCATTGAGAATCTGATAAAAAACTGCAGTCCTCGCTGTAGGAAATGAACATTCAGTTTTTGCATGCACTGACAAGGGTCCGAGTACCCCAGAAGCCCACCCATTACTTGTAGGTTGAGAGCCCCTGGTTTTACTCTCTCTGGCCCACAGGTCTCCAAATACCCATTCTCTTAGCCTTCCATGGCATCCATGAGAAATTGACCTGGAGCGGGGAGCCCAGCATAGATGCCAGACAGTCAAACTTTTCTTTAGCCAGCTGTACCTGAACAGAGCCACCTGAGTGCATGACTTACAAAGGACATGTAATCAACAACTGGAAAATTCAATTGAGAGTTTGCTGCCCTTCGCCTCATTTGTTCATGTAAGGAGTTTCATTCCATTTTTAATGGGGATGGACTGTAGCTTTAACCCACTGATCACAAAGGAAGTTCTTATCTCATTTCCTAATGGTATTTTGGTGTAGCAAAGCAGCTATATGCAGGCTCTCCCTCACTTAGGGTTCAGCGATGATAGGCCCTCTGTGGTGATTATGTTCAACACACTCCCACCAGCCCAGCCATAAGGCTGAGCATATTGATCCTGATCAGCGCATGTGTCAATGGAGACTTGTCGAGGGATGGGTCAAGCCAGCTGCCATGAGTCAGCTCTGACTCATGGCAACCCCACATGTGTCAGAGTGGAACTGTGCTCCATCGTGTTTTCAATAGCTGATTTTCAGAAGTAGATTACCAGGACTTTTCTTCCATGACTCTTCTGGGTGGACTCAAACCGTCAGCCTCTCAGCAGCTGAGCATGTTAACCTTTTGCACCAACCAAGGACTCCAAGGGAGGAGGGCATGACTCCAAATGGGCTAGTCTAGGTCTTTCCCTAGGGCTATCCCTGCTGGAATCAGCAGAGAAGACCACCTGCTGCCTCTGGGCTCTGATAGTGAAGCTGGGCATGCTAGTGTCCATCTTCCTGCTGCACAGGATTGCCCTGTGCAAACGTAGAGAAAGGCCAACCCAGAGAAAAGCGAAGCCCAGAAGTTGGCAAGAAGATGAGAAAAATCTGTGTGTGATACAGTCCCACTCCTGCTCCTCCTAGTATGTACGTCAGGATGGACTAGGTTATGCGGCAGTAACAAACAATCCCAAGGTCTGACAATTCCCACAGCAGCTTATCTCTTTACCTACGCTGCATATCTAGTGAAGATTGGGGGCCTACTCCACACTGTAGTCACTTAGGAGCCCAGATGACAGAAACTTCATCTCAACACATAACTTTGACAATCACCAAAACAGGATGAGGGAATATGGCAGATTACATGCTTGCTCTTAAAGCTTCTGCCTAGAAATGACACACAAGTCACAACATGGTCACACTTAACTTTAAAGAAGGCAAAGAATTTCAATCCTACCACATGCCAGGAAGAGAGAGAAATGGGATACCTGTAGCTCTGATGATCACTGTACCTGGTTACCTGAACAACAACAAAGAATCCATTTTTGTTTAAGCTTCTTGTTAGCTGCCCTCGAGTTGGCCCCGGACTGATGGCACGCCATCTGTTACAGAGTAGATCGTCTCCATAGGGTTTTCTGAGCTGTCATCTTCATGAAAGCAGGTTACCAGGCTTTTCTTCCACAGAGGGTCAAGGTGGGTTTGAACCACCAACCATTTGATTAGCAGCTGAGCAAAAGTGCTTGCACCACCCAGGCCTAAACTAGCTTGCACTTACAAACAAAAGAATCACAATAAAGTGCCCTCTCAGCATCTTTTCTCATGCTAAGCCTCATCACCTGTGTGGCACTTGAAAGCCTTTAAAACAATTTTGCAAGTATCTTACTTCCCCTTCACCACAGCCCCTGAGCTCAGTGGAGCATCCATCAGGTACCTGGGCGTTTTATCTAGAAGAAGTTAGCTCAGAGAGATCTTGGGCTGAAATGGAACTGGAATCTGGGTCAGTGGTTTCTCCATTCCTGCCTCCACTGTGGGAAAACAAATTCTTCATAGGTAGCCTAAGTTCTCCCTTATTTTGGTGACTTTCCACTCAATCCCTCGTCAGTTTAGCCTTCTCACTTCTTCCTGGATCAGTTTTCTCCTTTGTCTTGCTTCTCTGGGGATTTTCAGGTCCAGAGACGAATTGGAGCAAGAATCAGAAATTTGGGTCCTTCCCACATGAGCAACTTTTCTAACCACACTCTGGGCACTGTGTCCAATAGTCGTTAGTCAAGCTCTGTGGTCTGGTATTTACAAATGTGTAAGATGTGAGTCCAGTGTGGTGGGAGAGGCCCTCTGTTATTTTGTTCAGTAAACTGAGATGTTATCAAAAGTGAGAGGGCTTTGTTTTTATTATTAGTTTTAGTGTTTTAATGGAGATGTTACTGACCACCTGGTTGAAATTCCTCATGGTTGAACATTTACAGGAACTGTTCCAAACCTGTAACCTCTGACCTCTAAACACTGCTAATCCCCATTCTCCTACCTGCATGATGTTGACCTTTGCACAATTTCCTTCTTTCTTTAGTGTCCACATTTCTGTGGTTTAATTGTCCTTTTTATAACTACTTTCAGAAAGGAAAAAGAGCTCTAGCGGTGCGGGGCCTAAGGCATTTGACTGCTAACCAAAAGGTCGGCAATTCAACCCCATCAGCCACTTCACAGAAGGCAGACTGGGCAATCTACTTAGGTAAAGATTTACCACCTGGGAAGCCCAATGGAGGTCACCATGACTTGGAATAAACTTGATGGCAGTGAGCTTGGTCCCACCCCCCTACCCCAGGAAGAAAAAGTATTTCCTAATAGTATCCCCTGGTTGGTGCCAGAGGACCCTGATCCTCAGGAGAGAAAACCACTCTTATTTGAGGAAATGTCAAAAG